CCCCAAAACCCCAAAACCCCAAAACCCCATGATTGAATGACGAAATGAGATAAAAGTAATATTATTAATTGAATTAAATACCGCTAAAATAATAAAATGAGTTTTTAAGTAAAAGACAAAAAGAAGATTGCACTGTTTAGGAAGTCAGTGCAGATCCTCACCTCAAGCAAGGACACCTTTCACATTCACTTCACTAAGACACATGTAAGTTTGAATTAACAATTACTATACATCTATTCATTATACTATACATAATTAACCATTTAATCAATATAGATTAGGCTATTCAACACATTTTAAGACGATGCTACTTATATGTTTGATTTCGCCGCTACATGGTTTAGTAAGTTCGTCGCTCCTGAATGCATACTCAACGACGAAATTGAAATACTCTAGGTTCAGTGCTACAGAGATGCCTTTCTTCAAGGTTTTAACATTCTCGATGTAAGTCTAACTACTCATATCGCGCTTTTGTGTCTAATTATTTGTCAGGATACCGAGCTAGAGTTTCTGGTGACACTTGAGAGTATGGTGGCTGGCAGATTCAAAGTCATCAAGACAAGAGAATTCTTTATCATAGAAGCTACTGTTCCTTTTGCTATTGAGAAAGACATTAGAAGTGATGAGAATTACGAGTTTCCTGAGGATTAATTGCTAATGGATGTGGATATTCAGCATCTCAAAAACTTAAGAGGGATATTCAAAGCAAAGTCTAAGACAGAGATAATGAATTTGCTATTCAGCGACTCTTGTATCAACTTCAAGGGTGAGATTAATAACAAGTTTGGCTATGAAATCGTTAAAAAGGTTATCAGATCCTATGGTAAATATCTTAGCCCTGAGGAGAATAAACAGTATGCTCTAATTTTATCTGATGTAATGATGTTTTAGGTCCAATTTCCAAATTACTTTATCTCTTAGGCACATACTGAGCTTGCTTAAAATTTGTGAGATGATTGAAGGAAGTGTAAGTGCTTGAATATTTAATCATTGACAATGTATAGTTTATGTCTGCAATGGAGCTTATAGATCTTGAGACTTGCGTGTCTTTCCTCTTTACACATTCACATGAAAGAAAAGACTTTAAGTTTTGTATCGGTATCGGTAATGTGAGATTTATGCCAATGGATCAGCCCGTGATGCAGTCATCTAACTAGTAAAACTAGAGACTTAGAAAAGAACCACAACCCATCCCTTAAAACAGAAGAGTGATTGGGAATGATAACGAATAGTCACATACACATAATCAAATGGCTATGAAATTAGAAGATAACATGACTGCAGGAATCTCTGCTTTCAATCATGGCTACTCAGTAACGCATTTAGCCCAAGACGAAGACACCTAAAACTCAAATTTGAGTCGAGCTTAATAGCAATAGTAGAACTAAAAGCTAATTAATAACATGAGACCTTAGCAGTAGAGCTCTACACTTTAGCAGCAACACTAGCAGATGAATTAAAAGAGGGCTGCTCTCAAAGGTAAAAGAGGCGTAGTTGATGAAGAAGAGTATACTAATATGACTAATAACATGGGTAATGGTTCCAATGTCAAGATGGAAATGGACTATGATGACGATGATTAGAGTCATACTCTGAACAACCAGAATAACGGGCATTCACATCAATAATAGCAATTTAAAAATTCAGATGATGAAGGCGGCAGTCCCATGCGTGTAGATAAATTCAAGAAGAGCACTGGTAAAAAGAGCAGTACAAAGAGCAATAAATTAGTAAAGAAATAGCGAGAAGATGATGAAGAAGAGGAAGAAGCGCAAAGTGACTATGAAGATGATCAAGCACTTCTAGCCAGAAAGAGAAACTTTTACAAAGAGGTTGACAATGAAGAATTTTTCTGAGTTTATTTAAAGAAAACAATTATAAACACAAATAGAATTAATATAAATTTAATTTTAATTTAATCACTTCCACATTTAAGCATCGCTGTGGGGTTTTGGGGTTTTGGGGTTTTGGGG